TTTATTTAAATTACTGGGATTGAAATGAAGGTTATAAATGCTCAAGCATTTGCTAATTGGAATGTTTAGAATGCTATGCTTCCCAATGTTTTTATTGGGTAGAAATATGGAATTTAATTCATTTTACATGTCGATTAGAGGGTGAGGATGGTAAAAATTTTTTTATTACAATATGAATAATGTAATGACTAAAATAATGAAAGCACTGATGGATGTTTTTAATTCAAATTTGAATGTACTGATAATTGTTTATTGTGTAACTTAGCTTAAGATTTTGTACATATTATAAGTCTTTTGAACTCAAAAATTAAATTTGTTCACCTATATGTGGAGATTGGAAAGTATTGAAGAATCTGAATAATTTGATAATTGTAATGATTACAATATGATGGCTGTTATTAATACTAATTCTCATCATATTAAATTGATTAGATCTGCAATCTATAAGACTGTATAGATCCTCCAGTATAATAATGAGAGGAAGAGTTTTGAGGTCTTGGATAGGATGTAGTATTTATCTAATCTAAAATAAATAAATTCAAATTTTCCAAAAATGTGATGATTTTTTTGAATCTTCAGAAGAAGTAAAAATTATCCCAATTTCAGAAAAATTAAAGGTTCTTGACTGATATGATGTATTTATAGGATAGGGCTATATGCCAGTATTTGAAAGGTTTCTAATAAAAAACAATTCAGGCTTAATCACTAACTTATCAGGATTGGTATAATAATTGGGTAAGGCAATAGTGTTGTTTGTTATATCAAAGATATATTTATAATTTTTTTCTAAAATAGTACAACAACATAAAGATTTTGCGTATGATAATAATTTTTCAAAAAAGATAGCTTCTTTTGTAAATAAACTTATTAGATAAAGCTTTTGAATTAATTAAATTATTTCATTCTAAGCGAATTGTTGGAATCTTATCTTAAATATCATGAATCAATTCTATTTACATAAAAATTATTGTATTAGGTAAATGTTAAAGAAAAGATTTATTTAATAGTAATTTTCATTTTTGAAATCGCTATTGAGCAATGTTATGCAATTTTTTTTCAAGTTTAAAATCTCAAGTATTGATTTGATTCCGATAGATTGGACTTCTATTATTACACATAATGCCCCAATAATAAAATATGGACATAAAATCAAACTTAAACGCAAGAATGAATAAAAAATGATAGTAAAATGAATGTTAAAGAGATTCAACATCATACTCTCTTTTTATTTGAAACTCATTATATGAGTGATCAAAAAATTCCTTTGATATCATAATTGTTATTTTTTACATAATTGAAATCATATATACTCTTAAATCTGTATAATTAAAAAATTATTAATCTAATCAAATATTCCAATTACTACTTGCCAATTAGAATCCATTGCAATCCTCATTTACTGTATTGAATCCTCTGAAAATTTCTTAAATGGCTGTTGTAAAATCATATTGATGAGCATATGTAATATTTAATCCTATTAACAATAAATACCTTCAGGAATTTAGGTATCAAATACTGTTGGGGTAATTACTAATTTTCCTAGTAATTTTGAGTTCTGTATTGGATCTACTAAGTTGCTTTTTGCCTTCTCCATGTTCATGTTGATAATTAATACACTTATATTAATAGAATTTATTGTGATATTTTAAATTTATATAAATAGATAATAACCATCTTATCTTTTATTAAAATTGACCATTACAATGACCATATTTCCAAATCCCAATTAAGAATCTAATAATCACTTATCTCTAAACGATTGTATTAAATAAATCTTTTAATTATATATGATCTCTATTTTTATTATCATATATGCGATACTGATATAGGATATTGTCTGATTCATTATCCATTCATTATGAATAAATGAAAATATTTAATATAACATATAAGCTATAATGGAATGACAATTAGTTAACAGGTGAAATCTCTATATAAGAATATTTATGAAATTTCTTATTTATTAAATATCCTCACATAATTATGAACATCTATATAGACTCTATTGCATAATATGAGTGGATGCCACAATTTTTTTTTTTCACTTATGGGTTTGATGATATATTAAGAAAACCTTACAAAGGATTTTCTAAAGGAGATTTGGAAAGTAATTTGCTACTTGGAAACTCATCTTCTAAGCTCTCATATCATAGTGATCCATAAACTTCGAATATAGGAACAATCAATAAATTATGTACCTCCTCTAACTACTTGACATTAAATTTAAGATGATATCTAAAGTTATTATATTCACTTAAATTAAAATATTTTCCAACATTATTCTTGATGTCTGTTCTTAATGATTTTATGAACATCAACTTAATTTCTCTATAATTGTTATTATTTGGTTGATTACAATTATAATAATTCGAAGATGACTGAGAATATAACAATAGATATTTTTTTTAAATAAGATATTGAAATTATTCTAATTGAATTTTTTTTATAAAATATAATATTCCTTTATTCAATTAACTCTTACTAAATAAGGCATTAATGAACTAAATTTACAGACTTTTTTTTCATCTCTAAGTTATAGGGAGATACTTTTCAAATTATTCTTTGTAAATCATATGTTTTTTGGCTTGTTTAGGTTATTTTTGTGATTGAGTATTCAAATAAAAATTGTTGTCCTAGTATACCAAAATGAAAAGTAAAATTATGATGGTAAAGTTGCCATAATTAGTGGTTAAGGCTGGAAGAGCATTTGATCTTGGTGAGGGGAGTCAAAGTATTGGTATTCAAACGATAAAATAGTCAAGCCTTAATTAGTTTCAAATCATGAAAATAAAGTTGATTTAGAAGCATCATGCTTCAATTAATTATTTTTGAAAGCATCAGACTTCTAAGTAGGCCAATTTAATGTGTTTTAGAAATTTTAAATACAGATATCTGTTTTTAACAGTTTTTGTTTTTAAATACAAACCAAAAAAAGATAATTGTAAAACTATGCTCAGAAAATAACTTATTTAGCCGAATTTTGGGAAAAAGTAATCAAATAATAAAAAAGAAATGATGTGTGAGCTACTATAAAAAATGAATTTTAGCCTCCACTTTTTTAAGATTTAATATTAAATCTAAGTAATGTAGATTAAATTAAAAAAACCAAAATAAGTACTTCGAATAATTGTATAAATATTTATTTAGATTTAATCTTATTTGTATATGGTTAACATTTTCAAGAAATCTGATTAACTTTTATGATCTTCAATAAGAGGAAAATGTTTTATTTAACATTATGGTGTGAGGATACTCATATTAGATTTATCTGAAAGTTAATTTTAAAATCCTTGATGAATCAGATGACAAGTATTTTGGAAGAAAGCAGTTTAAAAAAAGATTGAAAAATTCAGATTAATTCTTAATTCATATATCTCGAAAAAACAGTTTTTTAAATAATACTAACCTGACGAAATAAATAAATGAAAAATATAAAAATTAAAAGTGTAAGTACTTACTTTCAAAATCCCCTCATAAAGTAATAAACAATAATTTTTTCATCGAACTATAAAAACTAGTTATATTTTTAGTACCGTAAAGGGTATTTAGATGATGATTTATATCATATATTAAAGAAGCAAGTTTGAATAAAGCTTAAAGACAAAGATTTCATTTGAAAAATTTTTGGAACAAGCAAAAAATAAGTTTTGATATTTGGAAAAATAGAGAAAACTTCCATTTAAAAATTCATTCCTGTTTATGCATTTGGATTGCCGTCATCAATATTGTTGTTTTAAAAACTTATTGACAATATTACATCTAAAAGAAATAGCTTGAGATGTAATGACACTTTCAAAGGAGATAGTGAAAATTTCTCCTAAGTATAGATTAGAGCAAGCAATTTAATTTAAAGAAAGATTGATTCTTGTTTAACTAAATCAAGATTTTCTATAAAAATTTGGAAAAGGCTTATCTAACAATTCAATCCTTAAATCTCTTCTAACTAATGTGGCGATCAAAAATTTTATAGATAGTTTTGAACTGTAATTTTTTTGAAATGTTGATACATTTATGGAAAAAAAAGATATTCTAATATCGTTAAGTAAAAAAATAAATAATAAAAAAAGGAAATACTTTTTATTTCTTTTTCAAAAGTTTAATTTGTGTTTTGTTTGATATTCAGAGTAAAAATTCTTTGAGTTTCAATTATTCAGACTAATTCATGATTTTCTTAAAAGTTTTTTGAAGATTTGATATAAATTCAATTTTATTAATGTTGAAATTAAATGAAACAAATATTATAAATCTAGTCTAAATATTTTATCGCTAATTTAACCAAGTGCTTAAGTATGTTTCACATCGAACAAAATTAATATTATCATGATTAACAAGATTTTTCATAAATTAAGTTTAATGTATTTTTACATAAAAATTTACTGATTATCTCTTGTTATAGGATTAATTTTGAATTCTACAAAAATGTTTCAAAAAAAATCTATTTTAAAAGTATGGAAAAAACCTTGTCAAAATCAAATTGATAATGCCAGATAACCTAAGAATAGCAAGCATGTTAAAGTTTATGAATTAAATTATTATATTTGTATGATGGGACCAATTTTTTGTAGAATATACTTTAAATTTTTGGGGTGTTATATATATCAATTCTAATTTAAAAAAAAAATTGTAAATTAAGAATGGTTTAACTTTTGTAGTTGTAATAATCTTGGTATATAATCAACATTTTCTAAGGTTAGCTCTTTTGCAATTACAATTCACATAAGTTTTTTAATTAATTTATTAATTAAATTTTCAAATTTTGCTTCCTTTTGATAATCTTTCTATAATGTGGGCATTGAAATATCATTAGAATGAAGAATAAAGAATTCTTAAAAATCATTATTAATTTGTTTTAAGGAACAGATTTTTTATTAATTATTTTATTGCATATTTATATTTATCCTTGATATAGATATATAGCAAGAGCGATATTCATTAAGAGATTCAAAACAAAGAATTAGGCATTAAACAATAAATAGAAATTACATAAATTGAATAGTTAAATCAATAACATATGATCAACTTAAAAAATATTAAAAAATTTCTGATGGAATATTAATATGAATTCAGAATGAATTCATAATAAAATAAATCTGTCATGATTTTTTCAGGGACATGAAATTGTAGAAGAACGAATAATGTTTGTCTTATTTGAAAAGCTTAGAAAAATTAAGAGATTTTTGTTTATTAAATTAAGATTTTTAATTATGAGGAACAAAGTATCTAAAATCAAATACAATTATTATAAATTCTTTCAGTTTTCTAATAAGAAATGTTTTAATTAAATAATTAATTTAAATATTTCTTACTTCTTATAAGCAAATGCTCTTGGGCATTCATTACTTAAAAAAAATGAGTTACTATTTTTTATTAAAAAACTTATACTCCATGCTATCATATTACTTTAACTTTTCTTTTGTGCATTATTTGTGGAGGGTAAAATTTATATTCTTAATCAATAATTTCATCCTCCTGATCAATTCTTTTTTTTTCTTCTATTTATTTAATGTTTGATTTAAAAGATTATTATTAGTTATATGGTCATTTTCTACATTTCTTTCACAAAATCAATCCCTATATTAACTAACTTCATCTTTTTAATTTTTATTTGTTGATTTTCTACTTGTAGAGTTTGATTTCACTAAACAATTGTCTGAATATTTCTTCTAAGATTTTTTAATTTTATTTGTTAGAGCTAAGGGTCTGTTAATTATTGAAATATTAATAAGACACTTACTATATTAACTACTAAATAAGACAATAAAATCTATCTTAAGTTTTTATTTTTATATA